ACTCAAATTTGATAAGAACAGAGTGGAAATTATTAGCAACACTAAAATAACAGCAAAGCTAATGTTTTCTATTAGTTTAAGCACAAACGAAGAAAAGTAAAACCAAACTTGGTGGCAATAATAAAGACCAAACTGAACATGGTGTGTGTTTATGGTGCATGTCTGCAATGTTGTCTCGGCCGGGGCGTGGTGGAGGTGCTTAGGTAGACGATATTATCGGATATCACAATATTTTTAAAGGCGGTTATCGATAAGATATTTTTGACATATCACCCAGCCCTAGTCTCGTCTGTATCTTTGGTCAAGCCAGGTTGCTTTGCGCTTCATCCTCAGGATGGCATCATGGCCATATTTGCCTTCCATCTGTTCCAAGATGACGCGCTTCAGGTCGGCTGTGAGTTTGGCATCCTGCTCTGACTTCTCCAGCACACCTTCCAGGTGGGCCAACATGGGCAAAAGTGAGGAAACTTAGTTTTCTCCAGAGAGAATATATGTAAACTCTGAGGAAATACATCAACTTTGCGCTGTGGATTGCCGGATCGGCTTTCACCGTGGATGAAGCGGAGTCCAGCCCGGGGTCGTCACATGTGGTTGCCGCAAGCCCACCGGACGCTCCTTCGTTGAATCCGCCGGCCACGCCGTTATCAAGCCCGCCTGCTGGTGTGTGTTTATGGTGCATGTCTGCAATGTTGTCTCGGCCAGGGGCGTGGTGGAGGTGCTTAGGTAGACGATATTATCGGATATCACGATATTTTTAAAGGCGGTTATCGATAAGATATTTTTGACATATCACCCAGCCCTAGTCTCGTCTGTATCTTTGGTCAAGCAAGGTTGCTTTGCGCTTCATCCTCAGGATGGCATCATGGCCATATTTGCCTTCCATCTGTTCCAAGATGACGCGCTTCAGGTCGGCTGTGAGTTTGGCATCCTGCTCTGACTTCTCCAGCACACCTTATTAGTTTAAGCACAAACGAAGAAAAGTAAAACCAAACTTGGTGGCAATAATAAAGACCAAACTGAACATGGTGTGTGTTTATGGTGCATGTCTGCAATGTTGTCTCGGCCGGGGCGTGGTGGAGGTGCTTAGGTAGACGATATTATCGGATATCACAATATTTTTAAAGGCGGTTATCGATAAGATATTTTTGACATATCACCCAGCCCTAGTCTCGTCTGTATCTTTGGTCAAGCCAGGTTGCTTTGCGCTTCATCCTCAGGATGGCATCATGGCCATATTTGCCTTCCATCTGTTCCAAGATGACGCGCTTCAGGTCGGCTGTGAGTTTGGCATCCTGCTCTGACTTCTCCAGCACACCTTCCAGGTGGGCCAACATGGGCAAAAGTGAGGAAACTTAGTTTTCTCCAGAGAGAATATATGTAAACTCCGCTACAGGCTTCAACCCGCTGTTAACCGCTTCCAGAACACTTATGTCCTGCCATGTAAGCTGTGGAAGCGGGTGGCGGCTTTTGTCCTGTGAAAACACCTGTTTGATGGCTTGCACCTGCTCCAAGATTCTCTTCACCATTCGCTGTTTGGAGCCACATCATGTTGCACAGTCCTGTCATGAAAACATATTCATCTAACTTTTAAAGGGGTTATATGATGCAATTAAAATTTTTCCTATCTCTTTGGAGTGTTATAAGCTCTTGGTGCATAAAGAAGATCTGTAAATTTGCAGACTAAAGTCTCAAATCCAAAGAGATATTCTTTGTAAAAGTTAAGAGTCAACCACGCCTACCTAAAACGGCTCATTCTAGCATGCCCCCACATCTACGTCACGATGTTGGAAGATTTGCATAACACCGCCCAAATGTTCACGCAAAGAAAGAAGGCGTAACTTTTATTCTTGCTGTAGTATTGTTGTTGCCGCCACCACCACCATGTCGTGAAGGGGCTGTGTTTCATTGTGAAAGCAAAACTACTTTGGTTGGCCTTCCAAAAGAGGACAATATCCGTTTCATCATGCCTGGAGCTGATCCGTGCTGGTCACTGAGGAAATACATCAACTTTGCGCTGTGGATTGCCGGATCGGCTTTCACCGTGGATGAAGCGGAGTCCAGCCCGGGGTCGTCACATGTGGTTGCCGCAAGCCCACCGGACGCTCCTTCGTTGAATCCGCCGGCCACGCCGTTATCAAGCCCGCCTGCCTCTGCTCACTCAAGCCAGCCTCCGCATACTCTAGGCCCCCACTCACTCTAGGCTTCCGGCCTCCGCTCACTCAAGGCTGCGGTGTGTGAAAGCGAAACTACTTTGTTTGGCCTTCCAAAACAGGTCACGACTAGAAATCAGTGGTTAAGTCGTATTTACAACACTGTTCCAGAACAGTTTAACCCAAATATTCAGATCTGTCCAGCGCATTTTAAAGAAGACTGTTTCCTGATCCTGGTAGAGTAGACTATAATGACGGCTGTTCTGACTCACAGACTGTAAGTACGTTTTTTATATTTAAAGAATTTGCCACTTACGATTCAAACGCGAGTTTTTTGGGCAGTGTAGAGTAGCGCTTGTTGTTTGTCATTTCTCCGATCACAAATGCAGACAAGGTTTTATGTTTACGCGGTGCGATGCAATGCGTAAAAAGACAGTACAAGTCATTATAATCCGTAATTATGTCCCCACTGGATGCAACAAATGCCTCGTTTATAATGGGTTTTAATGTTTTAATATTTTTGTCTCGTTGCTCTGGCCGGACAGGGCATCACAATATGGTAAGGGGCGTAACATTTCCGTCACACGCTTGAGGTATTCGGCCAATCACAACACACTGGATAGCTGGCCAATCAGAGCACACTTCGCTTTTCAGACCGATGAGCTTTGTAAAAATCGACGCATTTCAGAAAGGCGGGGCATAGAGGAGAAACAATAATGTACAGTATGTGGAAAATAATGTGTTTTTTTAACCTAAAACCGCATAAACACATTTCATTACACCAAATACACAAAATAATGTTCTTTTTGGCAGCATCATATGACCCCTTTAAGTAATTATAGCCTAGTAGCTATTCAGACTTCTAAATAAATTTACAATGCGCACATTTAGCCTCCCATATGGTGAGCACACAATATCAAATCAGCTTAACGTGTAAAATCCGTGTATCATTCGTTCAATTAATTTTCAATGAAGAATCCGCAAATCTGAAAAACAAAAAGCAACTTATTTCATTATTTCTTTACCAAAAAACAACGACTTGATATTCATATTTCCGTTTCTATGCACAAATTAAAATGGGGAATAAGAATAATGATTACGAAATGAGTTTGATTTTGATATTTCATATTCTTATTCCCCATTTTCAATTTGTGCATAAAAACGAAAATATGGATATCAAGTCGTTATTTGTTTTTCGTTTTGGTTTTGCAAAGAAGTTTTTATTTTTTTCCGATTGTGGATTCTTAATTAAAAATTAATTGAACGAATGATACATGGATTGTGCAAGTCATTTATATTTGTCAGTGCGTCTGATCGTGCGCTTGCATTGCTGTTTAATATGAACATTTATGGTTTTACATGTAGGAACTAGGGCTGGGCGATATGGGCAAAAATTCATATCTCTGTATTTTTGGGCAGATTTGCGATATACGGTATATATCTCGGTATTTTCATTTTTTGTATTTGTATTTTAAAAATCTGTATTTAATATGTATATTTCACTTACCACCCACTGTTGTCCAACAAAACAATACATAGTAAAGGCTATGAAAGCAAATAAAGTGAATGTAACATAAGCCTTTATATTATGTGCAAAAAAGGGTTAAATCACATTTCATTCTAACATTGCAATCTAAATGCGCTCTTCTCTACCGTATTAAAATAAACCATTTCTTTTGCTAGGTAGCGAGTTACAGCATCAGTACACTGCTTCCATCTTTCGCTGTCACGCTTGTACTTTGTACCTTTGGCAAAAGCTTTAGAATATGGTTAGTTGGTCCCTAGCTGTTTTGTGAAGTTCAGTTGTTCGTGATTACATTGGCAATGAACTGTATTCCGTGGGATGGTGCACATGCAAATGGTCATGTAAATTTGTCGTCTGTCCATCTTTTGTGTGGATTACAAGAGCACAAATCCTGCACACCACTTCAGACGTGTCTCTTGGCTGTCCTCTTTCATTAGATCTAAAGCCAAAGTATTGCCAGATAGGCGAAGTGGTACCTTTTTCTTCGACCAAGTTTGTCAATGCCATTATTAGATTACTATGCCTACTTCACACCAGGGTCCCGCAAAAAAAAAAGTGATTGGCAGGTGGTATTTTGTGTGTTAACTTTATTTACGGGTTTGGTTATGGGTAAAACAAAGAACATGCGGGTCGGATCATAGGTGTTTGATAATAAATATATTACAAATTACAATAAAATACGATGCCAGATTGGTCGACATCGCCAACCTTAGAGCGCACCCGGTTTATTTTCTTTATTTTACAAAAGCACATTGTGTTGTTGTTATTATGACTACACTCAAATAAAAGTAGACCCTTTGCGGTTTCAAACGATACCTTATTCGTATCTGAACGATCCAAAATTACGGAGTATTTTTAGTTCTTTTTGCAAGAAAAAACATGACAGACCGCACCAGTGTGGTCTTCGACCCCAGAGCGTTAACAATAGTGACAGTTATAAAATTTCAAGTAGTTTAAGATTTTTAGTTTGTAGTAATAGAAACTTTAGAGCTGTTGAATAATATAGATGAAGCAGCAAATAATAAGGGACACTTTTTTCAACAAAATGTATGTTAGACAATTGTGTAGTTGATCAAACATAATTAATACTTCTTATAGAAACATGGGATTTGTGTCTATAATGTTTCAAAAATAATATTTTGAATATCAATGTAACTCATTCATGAAAGGTTCAGGGAAGTATAATTTATAAAATTGCATCAAAAGGAACAATTTTGTATAGAAATTGTCTTTACTCTGTTACAACCGGGTTCACTTATGTACTTTCACGTATCTCTTTTTTTTCCAAGTTACTGATAAATGACCTGTTTTTGCTTTTATTTTAGAGTTTATTGAAGAAAGTGAGGATAATGAAGAATTAAATGAAGTTCAGGAGAAAAATGATGTCAAAACTGGAGAGAAACATTTGAGTTGCCCTCAAACCAAACAGAAAGATTTAAAGAAAAGAGGAGCCAAGAAATCTTTTACCTGCACTCAGTGTGGAAAGAGTTTGACGAGCAAATATAATCTTGATGTTCACTTGAGAGTTCATACTGGAGAGAGACCATTCACTTGTGATCAGTGCGGGAAGTGTTTCACACAATCGTTAAGCCTTAAGGTACACATGAAAATCCACACTGGAGAGAAACAGTACAAGTGTTCACACTGTGACAAGAGATTCAGTCGATCAGGAGACCTGAAGAAACACAAGTTAGTCCACACTGGAGAGAAACCACACACATGTGATCAGTGCGGGAAGAGTTTCACACAAAAAGGAAGCCTCACGGCGCACATGAGAGTTCATACAGGAGAGAAACTGTTCATATGTAATCAATGTGGAAAGAGTTTTGCACACTTGACACACCTTAAGGATCACATGAACAGCCACACTGGAGAGAAACCTTATAAGTGTTCACACTGTGACAAGAGATTCACTCGGTCAGGACACCTGAAGAAACACAAGGTAGTCCACACTGGAGAGAAACCGCACACATGTGATCAGTGCGGGAAGAGTTTCTCACAAAAAGGAAACCTTATGACACATATGAGAGTTCATACAGGAGAGAAACGGTTCATATGTAATCAATGTGGAAAGAGTTTTGCACACTTCGCAAACCTTAAGGTACACATGAACATCCACACTGGAGAGAAACCTTACAAGTGTTCACACTGTGACAAGAGATTCACTCGGTCAGGACACCTGAAGAAACACAAGGTAGTCCACACTGGAGAGAAACCGCACACATGTGATCAGTGCGGGAAGAGTTTCTCACAAAAAGGAAACCTTATGACACATATGAGAGTTCATACAGGAGAGAAACGGTTCATATGTAATCAATGTGGAAAGAGTTTTGCACACTTCGCAAACCTTAAGGTACACATGAACATCCACACTGGAGAGAAACCTTACAAGTGTTCACACTGTGACAAGAGATTCATTCAGTCAGGATACCTGAAAACACATGAGAGGATCCACACTGGAGAGAAACCGTACACATGTGATCAGTGTGGGAAGAGTTTTGCACGAAAAGGAAGCCTTATGACACATATGAGAGTTCATACAGGAGAGAAACTGTACACATGTAATCTTTGTGGAAAGAGTTTGAAATGCAAATATAGGCTTGATGGTCACATGAGAGTTCATACTGGTGAGAAACCATACACTTGTCATCAGTGCGGGAAGTGTTTCACACAATCAGTACATGTTAAAGAACACATGAGCATCCACACTGGAGAGAAACCGTACACATGTGATCAGTGTGGGAAGAGTTTTGCACGAAAAGGAAGCCTTATGACACATATGAGAGTTCATACAGGAGAGAAACTGTACACATGTAATCTTTGTGGAAAGAGTTTGAAATGCAAATATAGTCTTGATGGTCACATGAGAGTTCATACTGGTGAGAAACCATACACTTGTCATCAGTGCGGGAAGTGTTTCACACAATCAGTACATGTTAAAGAACACATGAGCATCCACACTGGAGAGAAACCTTATAAGTGTTCACACTGCAACAAGAGATTCGATAGGTCAGGAGACCTGAAAAAACACGAGAGGATCCACATTGGAGTGAAACCTTATAAGTGTTCACACTGCAACAAGAGATTCAGTCATTCATCAAGTCTGAAAACACATGAGAGGATCCACACTGGAGTGAAACCTTATAAGTGTTCACACTGCAACAAGAGATTCAGTCATTCATCAAGTCTGAAAACACATGAGAGGATCCACACTGGAGAGAAGCCGTATCACTGCACTGCATGTGGGAAGTGTTTCAATCGTTCATCTGCTCTACACAGTCATACAAAACACAATCACAGTAACTAGATCATCTTCAGATCCAGCACTTTCAGATCTGATGCTGCCTTCTCAAACTTGAAACAATAATGCATTAAGCAATAGAATATCATCTGGATTAATCTGTTCTAACCAGTCATTACAAGTGATATGACAAAGAAACATTATCTAAAGTTTTCACAGTAAATAAAGTTTATCTTCATCTTCAAAACCAGCAGATTCAACTGTGAGATTCAGTTCAACTCAAAGATGGAGTTCCTCCCCAAACAACAATGTCAAAATGTTTTATTATTGCGTATCATTTTGCTTCATGATATAAATGATATCATTGTGTTTTCTTATGAGTTTCATATTATGTTCAATTGTCTTATAATGCATGCGTGTCACTTGTAGTTTGCTTACTCTTTCATGAAGGAAAGTAGAAGCTTTTTACAAACAGTTCTTGTTCAGGAAGCTAAAGAAGAGACTGTGACACTTTAAGAGAGACGGAGATTTATTTTTAAACTTGTTCTTTGTTTTTAAAATGACTGCGTTATTCTTCTGCTTAAGATGTATTTTGGAAACGCAGATGCAAAATATACTGTCATGTAGCTTTGTAATTGATTCTTCTTTGCTTCTCTTGTAAGTAGGAATGGATACCTAAACCCATTATTAAAGGGGTCATATGATGCTTTTTTTAAAGATCATTATTTTGTGTATTGGTGTAACAGAATATGTTGACATGCTTTAATGTTCAAAAAACATTATTTTTCAAATACTGTACGTTATTGTAGGTCCTCTATGCCCCGCCTCTCTCAAACGCTTCGTTTTCTACAAAGTCCCTCATTCCAACAAGCGCAGTCTGCTCTGATTGGCCAACTGACCCAGTGCATTGTGATTGGCCGAACACCGCAAGCACTGGTCGGAAATGTAACGCCCCTTACCATAATCGCGAGCTTCATCTTTCAAAATAAATGTAAAGACATCAGTTCAAGCCCGAAAGGGGAACAGAGTCGCGTGACAGACACAGTGATGAAGCTGGTATGTGTTTGCAGTACACAAGCCACGGTTAAGACAGCTGACTCCACTGTGATGTGACCTCTCTCGTGCTCTCTCTCTCGCTCGCGCACACACACACACACACACACACACACACACAATGCGCAAAACTCCGCATTTGAACAGTCAATAGCAAATACTTAAACTAATAACAAAACAGTAGCTGATTCAGAAGCGCCTGATTGTCATAGCAAAGTCAGAATTACCTCCTCTCCTAGGTTCACGAAACGGTTGTCCATAAAATGCATTGCTGTTCTGTTGTAAGTAATTTTAAAGATTCCTAAATGCATCTACTTTTGGAAGGCCAAATAAAGTGCTTTTGCCTAGAAACACACAGCGTCTCCCTGACATGGCTGCTTCAACACTAACTGTGGTTACTGAAACCACGCCTTCTTTCTTTGCTTGCACATTTGGGCAGCATTATGCTAATATTTCCACATAGTGAGGTAGATATGTGGGGGCGTGTTAGAACGAACCATTTTAGGGGGTGTGGCAGAGTCTTAACTTTGATAAAGAATATCTCTTTGGTTTTTGAGACTTTAGTCTTTGCAACTTCGGGGATCTTATCTATGCACAATCAGCTTGTAACACTCCAAAGAGAAAGGAAAACTTGAAATTGCATCATATAACCCCTTTAAACGAGCCCTGGGGCTAAATTGCAAAAGACCGTAGTATCGATAAGCTCTAATGTGAACTGTTCTACTTTTAGTGCTGGGTATATTAAAAAAAACACACTTACAATTTATTATTGGTGCATAAATATTATCAAGCTAACTGTATATTGCCAAATGTTTCTACATGAGATAATAGAGACATTCATCACTGATGTGTTTTTGTTATTTTGCAATCCAGAAGCGATATCTCTCTTCTGCTTAATCTAATTTTATTTTTGATTGAGTTTGACTTCCAAGGATTATAAAAACGAGATGTTTGAGGTAAAGTGATATTTTAAATAAAATCTGATGTGTCTTGAAGACTTTATGGTCACCGCGTACGTGTGTCCATTAAGTCCATGTGACCATATAGTAATCCATTATTATAAATTTACACCACTAATCTATAACAGAGAACTGGATTACTCTCAATGATATAGAAGTGAAGCCACTACACCGCCATATTCTTATTCCCTAGTGCTCCCATATATTCTATTGAATTAACAGTAAATCATACCAGTTTGAGAAAACATCACATAATGGGTCAGCGTTTTTATATCTGAAGTAGTCCTGTACATTCTTAGAACGCAAATGTCCTCCTATGCATGTAAATTTGGTTATTTGTTTAATATTGGGAATTTCCCTTGTGTATTAAAGTTACATATCTTATTAATAACAGTAGCGAACATCAGATGAGCATGATGAACACCTCTTATAGTTAGCCTTTTAGTTAGTTAACGGTTGTGATGCTAACAGTCTTTTTTCCTAAGACACTAAACCATTTCTGTAAAATGGTATAAAGTAAATATTGAACAGAAACGTGTCAGTTACATGTAAGAAAGTGTCAGGGAGAGTTGTATGTATTATTTCGGTGATTTTAGTGACTAAACTTACCTGAAAGCAGTGAAAACAACACTGGGAGATGGAGTTTCGCTAGCTACTTGTCAGCTGAGTTGACGCCCCGTTTCCAAGGTAACTCCCTCCGCTCCAGTTTAAATGCGACTGGAATGTTCAACACGCGCGCCCATTAAAACACGTCAAAGTTACCATAGCGTTTACAGAAATAGTACATAAAAGTCAGATAAAATGTCCTCAAACTTGATCACGTATTGTTTAAGTGGATAGTAGGCCTACATCAAACTAAATTCAATGAAAATATGAAAGCAGTAATGCAAAACATTGTTTGAAGTCAGTTTATATATAGATAGATATAGATATACTATAATATAATAGCTTTAAACCGTAAACCTATAGTGTAGAAATAAAATTAGGCTGCATCGCAAAAACGCAATGATTAAAAATAGGCTACATCATATGAGGCATGATAATTTCACAAACACATTTAAACACGCAACATGAGCTTATGTTCTATGCATTTTTTAAATATATTTTCAAAATATATTTCAATATGTTTAACAGTGTTTCACATATATGTGAATATATTACCTTTCTGTATGGGATGTCAATGTTGTTGTTAATGTTTATGGTATTTTAGTTTCGTTAAACTGCACTGTTAAAGAGGGCGATTTTTTACCATTCATCTGAACTGTGTGCATGCATTTTAGACACTTACATTGATCTTCCTCCATCCATGCAACTGCGTCCTTCTATCAACCGAGCTTCTATTTACTTAAATTGCTGAGTGCTCTGGTAATATCAATGGCATGACCCATTTCAGGAGCTGCTAAAATTACGATTTAAAATTTCACTAAAATATTGAAACGCAGTGATTCAGATAAAAAAAAAAACACCGCCGGTGATTGACAGTCAAAGCAAAGCTTGGTTGGGGGGGACGTGTCAAGATGGCGGAGTGACAAGTTGAACTTTTCACAGGCTCTGATTGTGTAAAAGGCCGTCTATTCCTGGTCTACGGTTATTTCATTTATAATTGTTTATTTACTTGAATGTTTTTTGTTACTACATTCGTGTGAATTTTTGCTTTTACAAGACTATTCACTTGCCTTTTTATGCTGCACTTGCTGAAGTGTTATGGCGGGGAAAACTGGAGAACATGCCTATGTTGGAAAAACTATTGATACGATGGAGATTGAAGTGTCGTCTGCTAAAGATGTTCGACAGTAGACAATGCCTCACACTCCTCTCAAAAGTCCTGGGCCCAAACGAGTGAAAGCAGTACAGGCGTTCTGTACGCCGCCATCCAAAGTCTCAGTCGTAAGTTTGACCTAAAAATTCGGAATACATTCATGCCTTTGAATTCCAACTGAAAGAGAACACTGATGCAATTGTCAATTTCTGAGTCTCTGTATGCCAATATGACGGTGTTGAACGAAGTTAAGGAGGATGTGGATCATTTGAAATAACAGGTAACTCCGTTACAATGATCTGTTGAAACAGAAATGCGTGGAACATGACCGATACAAACGCAGATGGTGTTTGAGGCTAAAGGGGGTTCCAGAAAGAGAAGATGAATATCCGCTTTAGAGAGGATTTCTGTAAGGACGACAGGGAGGCTCATGTTCCTCTATGGCCTAAAGTTGAGGAGGCAGAGAAGCACCCAGCTGCAGCCTGCAGATCGAGGCGGGGCTGCACATCACCCCACCCACAATGCTTCTCATTGGTTTGTGGCAAAGTAATGACGTAGATCGAGGCAGGGCTGTATCTGGGGCGGGGCTCCACGCCTCGTCCCGCCTACAACTGTTCTCATTGGTTAGTGGCGTCAAGTCATGACGTCGATTCTAGCGGGTTTTCATTTCTGCTGTTCTTCGCTGCATGGTGAGTACAGGCAAGATGTGTCTCCTGTCTAATTTGTTTAATTACAATTTTTAATTCCAAAGTGGTGTTTAGTGTGTTGTTAAAAGGAAATGTGAAGTAGTTTAAAAATAAAATCGTGCAACTTTACTCACTCCACCCTGTCATGCAAATAACCAGGGCTGTGTTTCCCAAAAGCATTGTAGGCCTAATGCCACTTTCACGTTCTATCGGAAATTTGATAATTCTCACCTCTGAAGTTGTGATTACGAGCTCATCGCATTAAAGTTTCGAAATGAGAGGGCGTTCATGTGCAATGTTTACCTAGGAAACTCGTATTTACGATAATTCCGAGAGCACGTGAAGGCAGCATTAGAAACGTTAGTGTGTGTGGTTTTGGTGGGATTATGATTAGGATATAGTGTTACCAATAATATACCCAAAATAAGCCCCTTAAAAAGAAATACAGTGGCAAAACTGAACAAGCAGAAATAATATAGGACAAGTTAATATTAACAATAGCTATACAAAATTATATTGTTTTTCTGTGAATAAAATTATTAAATGTAAAATATTTAGATATTATTATTAATTATACATCTATTAAAATAAACAGTAAACTACATTTAATGATACTAATTCAACAAAAAGTATGATTAAGTTTAACAGTCCTTGAAAGTAGAGCTCGTTTTTTATATGCTATACAGTATATGCACTAGAGCAGGTGCCCAATCCTGCTCCTGGAGGGCCACTGTCCTGCAGAGTTCAGCTCCATCCCCAATTAACACACCTGAACCAGCCAATCAAGATCTTATTAGGCATACTAGAAACTTCTAGGCAGGTGTGTTGAGGCAAGTTAGAGCTAAATTGTGGAGGACAGTGGACCTCCAGGACCGACTTTGGACACCCCTGCACGAGTAAAAGAATTAAACATTTTATGCTAATACTGATTCTCTATATTTCCTTCTTTTTGCAGATCCTTGTCATTGTCATCCTTACCCCTCCATCTCTCTCCTCTTTTTTGTTGTTCTTCACTTTATAACTCAAAAGGTAATCCAAAACACAGAGAACAGAAAACACGATGAACATGACAACTATGAACTCAGAAGACAATACAAAAAAGCAGCAATGACAGACAGAGTGAGCAAGGTGTATATATATATATATATATATAGAGAGAGAGAGAGAGAGAGAGAGAGCTGGGAAAATGAGTAAATGACTAACAGGTGATAATGATCGGAAATAATAACCAGGTGCTCATGATCAGACAGAATGACAGACAAGGGACTATGGCAAATGGAGTTCACAACATATAACAAAAACAGGAGAGCGCCCTCAAGTGGCCAGTCCAGGGCACCACAACCAGACACTGTGACATTACCTACCCCCCTCTACGGAGCGGATACCAAACGCTTCACCAGAAAACAAAGTTCAGGAGGGAGGTAGAACTGAGGCGGACCAGGGGGAGGGATGGCGGGCCAGGACCATGCCCAGGAAGGGGTTCAGGGAACAGAGGTAGACCAGGGTCTACGAGTGGAACCGGCAGGGTGGAAGGTGAAGGCGGGGCCAGCAGGACGAACTAGCAGGGCCCTCTCAGGAAAACCCTCTCAGGAACTCAGGAGTACCTGAAAACAAGTGCAGAGAGAGTTTAGTATCAGCCTCAACGGCTGCAACAGGACAAGCCGATTGCTCTGCAACGGTCCCCGTTAGCTCCCGGACCGGAGCGGACTCTGGACCGGACCGGAGCGGGCTCTGTGAGCTCCCGGACCGGACCGGAGCGGGCTCTGGAGTGGGCTCTGTGAGCTCCCGGACCGGAGCGGGCTTTCCGGTCTTCCTTTTCACCCTCCGCCGCTTAGTGGGCGTCTGAAGGATAGAGGTGGTGGGAAAATCCCTGCAGAAGGTTTCTGATTGGCCTGGTTTTGCCCACTGACTTCAACCCTGGAGATATCTGACGAAGCCCCAGAAGTCTAGGATCTCGAGTCCTTTCACCTCCCACTGGGGCAAAGGATTATCCAGACAGACATTAAGGAGGTCCTTAAGCGCAGCATCATTGTAATTTAGGCCCACCTCCAATGTCCAAAAGGTCTGGGCAAACCCACCAACCTCCATTCCTTCCTGCCTCCAAGCCATCAGAGTCCGGTGTCGGATCACTCGCTCCTTCTCTGTGGCAGGAGGGACGATCCGAAGGTCCAGGATTCAAAAAAGGAAAAAAGAAAAACAAACTGCTGGATCTTGTAGTGGCTGCTTTTTTTCTGTCATGGAATGCCAGGAGAAAACAAGGTAGATCCAAGTGCAGTTGTTTATTAAGTAACAAATGAACAGAACAGAACAAAAACGTGGCAAAAGGTAATCCAAAACACAGAGAACAGAAAACACGATGAACATGAGACAACTATGAACTCAGAAGACAATACAAAAAAGCAGCAATGACAGTCAGAGTGAGCAAGGTATATATTGCTGGGAAAAGTTCACAACATATAACACAAAAACAGGAGAGCGCCCTCAAGTGGCCAGTCCAGGGCACCACAACCAGACACTGTGACACAAACAGGACACTTGAAGAGCACCTTCTACACCTGCCTGTATGTATTATAGTCAGTCATGTTTAATATGAAACCCAGACACACAGTTTCCAAATTTTGGTGATGACCAATATTATTTGTTTTCAAGCTGGATGAAAAGATCGACTGGTTTATCTTCCCAACCTGGATACCAGGACATTGGATGATTTGTGTAAGTAATTCTGAATCTGTTGTTTACCTGGGATAACTTATGTCTGCATAATTTTTAGATACTTTTTGATCTATAAACTGCAGTCGTCTTCTTTCTGTGTATATATTGTGACATATTAACAGATTATGAACCCAGGAGAGCATGACATTTTTTTCCTTGATCCTCTGCATGGCCAAACATTCAGTCAGGAAGAATACATGATCATCTACAGGTTTTATAGTGTACTGTTCGGAGTTCAGAGATTATGGTCGTTCTTAACCATATTTTGTTAAAATTGTGGTCGTTCCTAACCACATTTTGATAAGATTGTGGTTGTTCCTAACCACATTTTAATAAAACTGTGGCTGTTATTAACCACATGTAGGTTTATCAGCTAGTGACTTGTTCATCTGACTTTATTTTTAGATTTAAATGGTTTTGGATTTAGGATCCAATTATTTTTACAGATCACTTTTTTTGTAAACTGTCAATAAAAATGGTCTCATAATACTCATGGGAAGTTCAGGTTCTGCCCCACATTTCAGTTCTCTTGTATTGTTTTGTTTGTCGCCGTGCAGTTACTGTTTTTTAAGTTATGTTCTTTGTTTTGTCTTTGTCATCTCAGAAACATTGCACAAATCTTGTATCCTGGGCCTTGGCATGAATACTGTGTCAACGATATTACAGTACCAATAATAATTTAAACGAATAACTGTAAAAACATTGGAAATTCTTTTTCACGGTAGTTTGACTCTGCGCATGGCAACATCAACAGGGCATTCCACAACAACATCTCAGTAACAGCCGTGGTGTCTTTGTCCTGACAGTAAGTTTATAAAGCTGATGTGTTGCTTACTAGATGTTTATCCAGTATATGTATCTTAGCAAATGTATTTGTAATGTTTACCATTTCAGTATTCACTGAGCTTTGTGATAGCAGGGGCCTTTGATTTTACAGAGGTAAGTGAAAACTGCAATGGCAAAATTTCCCCTTGAGGTTTGTTTTCTCTCCTTTTTTTTTTTTTTACATTTTTGAATTTACACTCTAATTTTTGCTGTGCTATCACAATCACACTATACAAACCACTGAAGCTTCAATTATCAAAGACTTAGCTTTTCCTTTGAGTTTGAGAGAACGTTTTATTTACATAATTGAAAAGAATTGCATTACACATACCTGTCCTGTACTACTTTTCATTGCAGGTCTGATGAAGAAAGACGGGCAACAAAAAGACAAATGAGGCATACTGAAAAGAATGTATGAGACATTTAATAAGACATTTTTTTTTCTTCTCTTACCATATAAAGACTGACTTGTATTCTCTGCTATCCTTTTAGGCACAAAAGGCAAGCATGACTGCTGAGTTGCAACTTTTGGATGTAAGATGTCTTATTTTCTTTTGTGCTGGAATACTGTAATATGCCATTCAAGCAAATGGATTAATCCTTTTATAAATACTTTCCAGTTACCCATGGAGGTCTTGGAGATGATACTCCTTGAGGTAGTGATACAGAATGGTGATGCTCCCTGCATGAATCTGTCTCTTACTTGCAGTTGCTTTAGTGCAGTTGTAAACAAGGCCCTGTTCAGACAGAAGGCACACTATGCATGGCTTGACAGTAAGTGTGTTAAAGTTTAAATGTGTGCAATGAAGTATGCATAAGGCCTCATGAGTATAAGGTTGGCTTTAATCTTGCTTCTTGCTTTTTCTAAAGTCAAGTCAAGTCAAGTCAAGTCTGCTTTATTGTCAATTCTTCCACATGTACAGCACATACACACAGAGAATTTAAATTGCGTTACTCTCAGAAGCAAAGCACTGTCATGGCTAACATAATCTTAGATTTGCATATGAAAGAGTTCTGTTGTGTGTGTGTTTTGTGAGTGAAACATCAAAGGCTGAATTGCAGGTGCCTTTTGAAATTAAAGAGTGTAAAATATGTAAAACCGTGTTCAAACCCTGCTCAGGTTTTGACGGTAATGGTAAGCGTGGTTGCCTGAGAGGATTCTACGACAGCATAGAGGACCCAGACTGCTGTTTCATGTGTCAGTCAAGTGTATAAAGAAGGAAGGTTTAATGATTAAAGGAGATTAAGTATTAAAGGAAGAAAGTGTGTAAAGGATGTTAATGTTTAACCAGAGATTTATATGTACAAAAAGATGTGTTATATACAGATGTACAAATTTCACCTTTCTTTGCAGAATTAAACTGTTTCATACCTAAATAAATAACAAGTAAATAATTGTCTTGGCATGTTATTCATATACAAACAATGCTGGTATTTTTACCATAAGCTTTTCTCTTTAAATGTTCGAGGTATTAGGTGTAATGTTAAACGTAAGGCACTTCTTTTCTTTTTTGCAAGGATCAAGTAAAAGTAAATTGTTTCTCTTTTCAAGAGTCTCATTCAACTGATGTAGATGTGAGATTTTTGAAGTCACAGTGGGGTGGAGAGGCTTTATTCTCTCATGGAATTTCCCACTCAGCAGGGGTCGCCTTTTTGTTTAAACTGATCGACAGCAAAATTGTTGCAAGTTCAAGCGATAACAAGGGTCATTGGATTATGGTGGTTCTTGCATCAAATTAATGTAATTTCATCTTGATAAATGTTTATGGTTACACTAACAAGGCCACTAATAAGTTTTTTTTTTTTCAGAATATGGTTACAAAAATGGATGACTGGAAGAACACATATTTTACGGACAAAATTTTTATTGGAGGGGATTATAACGCTGTTCCAGATGAATGGCAGGATAGATACCGCACTCCTTTCACCACTTTTTGCTATAACCCCCTGGTTTACCAAATATCTCAGTTTCTTGATCTAATTGATGTTTGGTGTGTAAAGAACCCACATAAAAAACAATTTACATGGGGGTTCTTTTCAGGGCACATTCAGCGTTCCAGGTTGGATTTTTGGTTGATAACTAGTCATCTTCTTTCTTCTACATTTGACTGTAATATTTCGCCTTCAGTTTTAACTGATCACAGTGCCATATCACTTTCTCTTAGGAGTAATGGCAGCTCAACGTCTACCAGAACTCATTGGAAGTTTAATAATAATTTACTAAAATGTGAATCTTTTTAAATTCTATTTTGTTAATGATTAACAATGTTAAAACCATGTCTGAATTAACCTCAGTTGGCAAATGGGAATGGGTCAAATTTACTGTTAAAAAATTAGCAATTAAAGAAGGGAAACAAATTGCAAATGCTAGAAAATGTAGGCAGACAACAATTTTATCAAGACTAAATTATTTATGTAATGATTTCAAATTGCTCTCTTACGTTTTTGCGAATAGACTAAAAAAAGGTATTGGTGAAATTATCAGTGAAACACAATCTGCTTTTATCAAAGGGAGAAGTATTCACAGTCATATTAGACTAGTTCTTGATATGCTTGATTATAACGATTTAATTCCTCAGACAAGCTTACTTCTATTTCTAGACTTCTTTAAGGCATTTGATACCCTTGAACACTCTTTTTTGTTTAGATCCTTAGAAACTTTTGGTTTTGGTCCTAGGTTTTGTAAAGGAATTTCCATGTTTTATAATTATATTTTTAGTAGTGTTTCTCTTAATGTTGGTTCATTGGCCAGAATCCAAATTAAACGAGGAATTCGTCAGGGATGCCCTATCTCACCATTACTTTTTAATCTTGCAGTCAAACTAATGTCTTTATTCATTAAAAATGTTGAGGATAATATAGGCATAGACATTTTGCAGATGACACTCTTTTATTTCTTAAAAATAAAGAGGTGCTTCCATTAGTTATTGAAAATATTTCTGTCTTCTCAAAGGCATCAGGTCTGACTTTAAACTTAAAAAAATAAAAGTTAATTAATGGTGATCCATAATTGTAACTTAGACGATATAGAGGGCATTCCAGTGAAAAGGGAGGTTAAGTATTTAGGGGTTATGATTACTAAAAATTTTGTTAATAGAGAACACTCAAAAAGTAGAAAGTATGAAAAAATCCTTAAATCATTGGTTATCTCGAGACCTACCTACAGGTGCATCTCAATAAATTAGAATGTCGTGGTAAAGTTCATTTATTTCAGTAATTCAACTCAAATTGTGAAACTCGTGTATTAAATAAATTCAATGCACACAGACTGAAGTAGTTTAAGTCTTTGGTTCTTTTAATTGTGATGCTTTGGGCTCACATTTTTCAACAAAAACCCACCAATTCACTATCTCAACAAATTAGAATACTTCATAATACCAATAAAAAAATTGTTGGCCTTCTGGAAAGTATGTTCATTTACTGTACATGTACTCAATACTTGGTAGGGGATCCTTTTGCTTTAATTACTGCCTCAATTCGGCGTGGCATGGAGGTGATCAGTTTGTGGCACTGCTGAGGTGGTATGGAAGCCCAGGTTTCTTTGACAGTGGCCTTCAGCTCATCTGCATTTTTTGATCTCTTGTTTCTCATTATCCTCTTGACAATACCCCATAGATTCTCGGTTCAGGCCTGGTGAGTTTGCTGGCCAGTCAAGCACACCAACGCCATTGTCATTTAACCAACTTTTGGTGCTTTTGGCAGTGTGGCCAGGTGCCAAATCCTGCTGGAAAATGAAATCAGTATCTTCAAAAAGCTGGTCAGCAGAAGGAAGCATGAAATGCTCCAAAATTCATTGGTAAACAGGTGCAGTGATGTTGGTTGTCAAAAAACACAATGGACCAACACCAGCAGATGACATTGCACCCCAAATCATCACAGACTGTGGAAACTTAACACTGGACTTCAAGCAACTTGGGCTATGAGCTTCTCCACCCTTCCTCCAGACTCTAGAACCTTTTGAAGGCTCAGGAAACCTTTGCAGGTGTTTTGAATTGATTAGCTGATTGGCATGTCACCATATTCTAATTTGTTGAGATAGTGAATTGGTGGGTTTTTGTTAAATGTGAGCCAAAATCATCACAATTAAAAGAACCAAAGACTTAAACTACTTCAGTCTGTGTGCAGTGAATTTATTTAATACACGAGTTTCACAATTTGAGTTGAATTACTGAAATAAATGAACTTTTCCACGACATTCTAATTTATTGAGATGCACCTGTATATTGGGTAGAATTCTCTTGACTAAAACTGAATATCCAAACTTATTTATTTATCTCAAGCTTTGTATACTGCCCCAAGAGTAATGTCGGTGAATTCAATTTTATTTAAATTTATATGGAAAAATAAAACACATTATTTACGTAAATTCCATATGGTGAAAGAGTATGAACATGGAGGTTTGAGAGCCATTGATTTTGAATCTCTTCTTGGTACATGCAGAATAAAATGGCTGAAAGAGTGTTTAACAAAGTCACACTCAATATGGTACCATATTGCCAACCACATTTTTTAAAATATTGGCGGCCTTGAATTTGTGCTGAGATGTGATCTTGACCCTTCCAAAATTCCTCTGAAGTTATCTAATTTTCATAAACAAGTACTGCTTTTTTGGAAAATGATATTTACCCACAACTTTTCCCCTCACAACTCCACTCTTTGGAACAATAGGGCTGTAATTTTTTATAGGAAATCTCTGTTTAAAAGTGATTGGCATAGCCAAGGCATTATTTTTATTCATGATTTATTAGATGATAATGTTTTTTTCTTATCTTATAATGATTTCATTAATAAATACAGAGTTAGAATTACAATAAAATGTTATAAGTTATGCAATGCTATACCCACTGGATTGTTAAGAATAATCCAAAGCAGTTTTTCTGATCTTTTATCTAGACCTGTAGTTTCTCTTCCCTCTTTGAAAATATGTAATGTTGACCTTTTAGACAGTAAGTGTAATGACAAACTTATTTACAAAGAACTTAAACATATTATCACTGAGAGCAACTCTGAACAAGGAAAAGGCAAAAACTTTCATCTTTGGCGAGGAGCTGACCCCGTTGCTACGTATGACACAGTCATATGACACATGACACGTAATTTTTCCTGTTTTACCTTACTCTCTCACACACACATTTTATATATATATATATATATATGCTACTTATTTTTTTATTTACCATGCTGTTAATGTTGTAATGTTGTATAATGTAAGGTATTTGATAGGAAACGAACAGCGACTCAATAAGGTTCTGAAAGTGCTGTAATTGTTTGTGTGATTACTTTGCTTGTAGAAAGTTATGACAGACCAAAATCATCACTGCTGCAAAGTTGCATTTTTCCAGTTGCCAAATATGTTAATGTACAGCAGCCACGTTCACACAGCAGCAGAATACGGTTGTCAGTCCTGTATTTGAGTCCTTAACACGGTTACGTTCACACAATACAGTTATTTACGGGGTGACAACTGCATTCTATAATCGAACTCACGTCCGTCTATTTTCAGGACTCACAACCGCATTCTCAGAAAACACGCGCTG